TTCTTAATATATATATAATAAATAATATAAAATATACAAAATATAAATATATATATATGCATAATATTATATATTATAATTTTCATTATATAGTAATATTATTTTAATATTTAGATATATTTAATTATAATATATTTTATTATTATATATATATTATTATATATATATTTATGTATTTTTATATAATATAAATATATATATTTATTATATTTATTTTAGTATATTTTATATATTTATTTATTTATTTATTAGTAATTATTATATAATATATATATATAATATGTATAAATATACAAAATTAAATATTAATGTTTAATTATATATATATAATTTTATAATTAATATAGTTAATATTATAATAATTTTTATATATTTAATATTTAATGTATTTATACTATAATATTATATGTATATATCGTATAAATATAAATTACATATTTTATGATATATATATTAAATTATTATTATATATATTTATATACATACAATAAATAGAAAATCTTTCTTCATTCGCTCTCTTTCTCCTCTTTTTCCCCCTATTATATCCTTAGGTATTGGAAGGATGTAACTCATATCAGGACTGTACTTCTACTGCATCTGCTCCTCTCTTACTCTCTCTTCTTATTTATCATCTATTCACTCTACGGTCATCTCTCTCTCTGATCTTACTTTACGAATGCGTACTTACTACTGCTGCCTTAGGCGTCGTGCTATCTTCAGATATCTTACTCGTCATCTACTCATGAGACTGGCTCTCTCTCTCTCTCCCATCGTCGAATCCGCCTCTATCATTGCCCTTCGTCTCTACTCACCTCTCCTTCGCACATCTTCCGATCTCTCCTCTCCCTCATCCCTCTCCCTCCCTCCCTAAAATCCCTAAATCACTAAATCCTCCCTCCTTCCTTCCTTTCTCTCTCTCTCTCTCTCTCCCTCTCTCCCTCCCTCCCTCCCTCCCTCCTCCCTCCGTCCTCCCTCCTTGGTTTTCTCTTTTTCGCCGTTGACACACCTTGAAGGCTTTTGACACGCGGTGACTGTCCTCGCATAAGGGAGAAGTAGGTCAAGAGGGACCCAACCTGGCCATCCCACCACACACGACATGAGATATAATATGGGGAGACGGTATTTAATATATATTAAATATATATAGGTATATATATATATTAGTTTTATCTTAATTATCGTATTTATGGTTAAGGGTGAAATAATGAATTTATCCTAACTCTCGTTCCAAGATATCCACTCCTACCGGAAATAAAAAGAGAAGGAGATGTGAGAGAAATGGATGATGATTACGAGGGAATGGAGGTGGTATGAGGAGGGAGGGATAATTGTTGGTAATTAGCCAGATTGAGGATATGAGATTACTTCACAGTAAATAAAGAAAAATGTAATTAAATAAGAGGTAGACAGTATAGACAGATAGACGAACAGACATAATGAATTGAAGACGTATGATTATGTGTTGTGTGTTGTAATGTGTGTTGTGGAAGTTTAATGATATTTTATAAACAACATTGAATTATAAGAAGCCCTGGAGAGGAGATAAATAAGATGTAAGGTGGAATAAACGAGGGAAGGTTGGAAGCAGGTAATGTAGAATCGATTTGGTAACTATGTATCGACCTAAAGCATGAAACCTTGGCATTATGATTTAAAATTGCTTGTTTTTGTTTAGACTTGCACGTGATATTCTTGTCCTCACTATTAATTTTGCAATTATACCTATAATATTGAATGTGACGTATTTCCTTAATCAGCAAATCATCAATCAAGCGCAAATATCATGAGATCCCCCATTATATAACACTTACTTGATGTACTGGAAAGATTTGTTGAAACTGTTACCATTTAGATTATGAATGTATAAATTATCCTCCATTTGTATTTTGCCCACTCGCCTTGTACTTTACACCCAATATTATCGTTCTCACTTGCAGACTTCTTAATGGCGAAAGAACTGTCAGATGCAGAACTACTTGATACGACTGCCATCTAACCACTCTGATTCGTAATAGAGCTGCCAATTATATCCTTTGAGACTCGGACGGTCAACACAGTAGCAATGCGTGTCCTGCACCATGCAGTATTCACGGTCCAGTGCATTCAAGGACGACTACGAACGAGATGCACTGCTTAAGCCTTACTATTTGCAAGTCCGTAGTGTTAATTTTTTTATTGATGTTATATATATCATTTGATATATATTATAATATATTTAGAAATGTGATATAATTTGTCGATAGTCCTGCGTTACGAGTTTATTTACACATAATATTCATAGCAATTTCTCTGCTATGCTAATAAGTGTGAGTGTAATAATGTATAAGATATAGTGAATTATAATTTTTTATATTAAAATTAAATAGATTATATATATATAATATTATATATATATTATGATATAAAGGTGAGTATGGAGCAATTATCTAATATACATAAATTAATTACACATAGAAAATATAACACTAAACATAAATGAATATTGGTTCAGGAATTACGAGTATTTAATTACTGAAATTATTGTAGTAATATAATAACTATCAAGACGGTAAGGTTAATATCAATAATATAAGATCTTGTATCCATCTGGAAAAAAAAGCTATATGAAATCATTGGAATAGTTCTACTCTCCTTATATACGTTATATACTTTCTACGTTCCCCACGTTATCAGAAACAGGAAAAGAATTATATTATAATACCGAGCTCCATACGTGCACCTAAACCACAGGGACAGAGCGTTACTCGGAATGAAGTCTGCCGTAGGAACGGGTCTGGAACGATGAGAACGACTTGCTCAGGCAGAATCCACTTGAACGATATGCCACAGGGAGCGGACGTGCGTGTGACAACGATGCGAAGCTGAAGATCGCGGTCAGGCTCCTGTCCTCTGCGCAATGCGACGGCGCGCGGGCAAGGTGATGTGATAACGATGCAATTTATTTTCTTTGAGTTAGTTAGGTTTGTTGATAGCTTGGTGGGTGAGGAAAGAGAAGAGAGGAGGCAGGGAGGGAGTTGGTTTAAGTTTGTGGGTGTTATTTGATGGTGGTTATTGTTTAGCCTTGATAGTTTTGATTAAATGAATGTGCCCGTTTTTTGTGGTTTACGGCGGTAGGTGCATTGCAAATGCCATCTTCGGGGTATGTTCATTTTCTCAGTATTAACATTTTACGATGTATTTATGAGTGGTGGATGAGGGTCTGGTATTATGAGTTCGACGATTATGTATATATTACGGTAATTACTGGATAAATCATTCTATTATTATAGTTACATGACTAATACTCTCACTCCCTCGATACTGGAAAACCAGTTGAAAGCACATATACTATATGTTTTTCGTGGTGCGTTCACTAATGACAGAGCGTGGCTTGCTGGTGAGCACACCTAGACGCGCGAGGATCGAGTAGTGGCAGCAGCCCGAGGCCATCCCGCTGGGCCATGTGTCGACACCTCGTCCATCGACGGAGGCTACATTCTGCACGTGTTCCGCCCAGGGCATATAGAGGCGAGTTGACTGACCGCAGGACATTGCGTCAAGGTAGCCAGGAGTGCCGTCCCGTGCGAGAACAGACGGCACCTGCTCTCAACACGACCGGGATTCGATTTAGGTTCGTGGGACTCGGGTTTTGTTTCGTTTCTTAAAATAGTGGTAATTTTAGATATTGTACGTAGAAGGTTTTGGTATATTCGAGCAGTATTTTGTGGTGCTTAGAATGTCAGGAGTAAGCAGATGTTCCGGAGACAAATTCATAGAAAGAAATAACATGAAAAAGAAATCTTTGTTAAGGCGCAAAGATTAATGAAACGCCAATTGGAAGGACAGGGGCTCAATCGAATTTCGACGCTTTCCCAAAATTAGCAATGGCTCTTAACATGTCTCCTTTTCCTCCCTCAGGGTGGTGTACTGGGCGTCGAAGGCTTCACGGGGCAGAGGGCTCGCGGATGCGGAGTAATTCGAAACTCATACTGAGTGCAGGGGTGGACGCAATGCCCTGCCTACATAACCAGGGCACGGTTTTTGTCTGACGAGCGATGGTGTGCCTTACGCTGTGTCGGCGCATGCCGGTAAGTCTGTGCTGTGGTTCGATGAGAAATGGTTACAGATTGCGGGCGAGGAGGAGGAGAGGAGGAGGAGAGGAAGAAATGGGGAAAAGGGGAGGAAGTGGAGCGGTAGGGGGAAGGTTGAATGAACAGATGGGGGGAAAAGAAATAAGAAAGGGTATTTGTACGTTTGGTCGATTGCCCGGTTGTATTTCTTTTTTTTTTTTTCCCCCATTCCCCTTTTTTTTCCTTCCTGTCCTCAAAGAGGGTGGGGTCTCGGGGTTGACAGTCGAGGAATTGCACGATGGTGAGCTCAGATAGAAGCCAGTTGATGTTGGCTAGTGTTATTAGTTGTGGTTTCGATTTAATTCCACTTGTTGCGTGGGGCGTTCGATCGGTCGAGGAGCGTGTCACCGTCATTGTGAAATGGTGCTCCCGACAGCGAGTTGAGCTGCTTAACAGATGTGTGCCACGGGTCGTATGTGACGGGTGGCGTGGTCACTGGTGTGTCCTGGTGGGAGTTGTTGCGTGTTGGAGGACTCTTCCATGAGAAGCCCAGCGACAGCTATGATATTTTCCGAGGGATGCCAAATGAAAGTTCTCGCCGTTATATCCTGATTCTGGACCCGAGGCTGCCCGCTCAAGCGGCTGAGTGTTGGGGCCATTGCCATCCGCGGCGCATGGGCCTCTTGGCGGCCCGCATATTCTTTCGATAGGCTTGTGCATTTACGCATGTCGGAGAGCAGTGAATGCGACGGTCTTACATAAGCGCAGGCCAGGTGGCCTCGGCCAAAGCGGGAGTGGGTGGCGTTGTAGGGAGGCGCTGGGTATCCCCCTTCCAGCCTCCAACCACATCCTCTTCGGCATGGCGCTGCTGGGGCCTTAGCCAGATATCCCTGCCGGCTTTACTCTGTACGCTCCGCTACCAGCTAGCCATATGATGATAGCTGCCGCTGG